GGAATTGAAGGGAATGAAATTGCCAATCAACTGGCAAGAGCAGGATTTGGACATCCATTTGGACCTGAACCATCATGTGATATTGTCAAGAGCTTCAAAGTGGGGCCATCAGGGACTGGATGAACAGACACCACCATAAACATCACAAATCCAAATTCACACAAAGGCATGCAAAGGGCTTCCCTTGGCAACACTCTGTGAAGGAGCTAGAGAACTGTTAAAGGTCAGCAGCAACTAAGTGCAACATTTTACGGGACTACTTCCTGCACACTTCCAGTCCCACATGTGATAGGTGCCATGGCAATGTTGAAACTGCCTCACACAACCTATCTATGTGACTGTTACATTGCAACTCATTTGAAATTCATTACACAGAACTCCATTTGAAGCATGGGACTGCCACAGAGCTATAAAACAGATTGCAGTCAATCATGGTACAACAGCCAGTTTGTCTCACCAACTTCCAATAATCCAATCTAGTGTAAACCTAGAATATCCATGGAGACTCCACTCGCACCCCTGCTCCTGGATGAATCTCTTTCCCCTCTGCTAAGCCATCCATTACCCTCCTTATTCCTGTGGCCGCCAGTTTGCAGTTTATATACTGTTAAATTTAACATGACTGAACAACTGACAGAAGATTGTGTGTCAATATATCAAACAAAGTTCTTCAATGTGGTAGAAGAAATTGTATCCTTAATACTAGCAGCATGGCTGCTGTAATACTCCTGCACAGGCATTCAGGATAAAAGTGCAGCTCCCATAATATTAGGGCACTTAAACGTTCACTATGTTAGTGCCATTTGGACATAACATTACTGCTTCTGTCGATCAAATGTGGTTCTTGTACATCTTCTAGTTCATCTATTAACCATCAGAGGCCAGCACCTGATAGATCACAACATGCCGATAGTTGAACATGTGCTACTTCTTGAGATGTTGAGTGTTTGTAGCATGGTTGCTTTGTGTTACAATTTGTGTTTGCTTTGTCATCATGGTGCAAAATAGTGCAGAAAACGGAGAAATCAAATATCATGTTTCCGGATAGTATCCATCACCCTTCTTTTACCTGAATCACATTTCAGAGGCGACCGTATTCTGTCTCCTGACATGGGGACTAGCTCTATCAATCGGGCCCAACCCAGTAGGTTTTACATGAAGACAGTGACAGAATCCAGTCTCTGAAACGTGTTTCAAATAAAAACAGGACAGTGGATAATGTCTAGAAACATAATACTTGTATTAATGTATCATCATCATAAACAATTAGATCTTATTAACACTTCAGAATGACAGCAAAGACGTTTTAAATTGAAATGATGATAGTAACAGCAATATATTTGTAAACACACATTCTGATTACAGTAACTATGGTCCTGCAAATGAGGAAAACACAGGCAAGCATCAGCTGTTTACAAAACCAAATTCTTGTATCAACTGTTTACAAACGTGCATAAACAGTAGTTCAAAATTATTGTACAGCCACTGTTAAAGACTTAGATTCAAGACCGTGCAATGAAATTCCTGAAAATGAGATATCTTGCACATTTACTTCCAATCCATGGCCACAAAAGGTAGTCGGTATGGCCAATAATGATAAAGAGGAGACAGGTGTGGATCGGGTCCCTGATACTGATCTTTGCTGAGGACCCCATGGTGTTAGCTTTCACGAGGCATTCCAACAACTGAATTTCTTTTTGCATTTTAATGATTCTGAACTGACTGCAAAAATGAAAGAACACACTAATTTATATGCCAGAAAGAAGTAGCTAAACTGAGGGCTCCAGTTTTAGGTAACGGACAACTGTGACCCTATCAGAAACAAAAATGTTCCTATTTATACTTCTAAACATGTGCATCAGCCAAAGGCCAAACAAGAAGTAGATTTAGGTAACAGACAACTGTGACCTTATCAGAAACAAAAATGTTCCTATTTATACTTCTAATCATGTGTATCTGCCAAAGGCTAAACAAAACAACCCAATCCTATATGCTAGTTGCAGCTTCTGTCCCAGTGTGCTGTCTCATGACAGATTTCTCGATGTTGTACCTCAGTGTCAACAGCCAACAAACGAAGGCAAGTGAAACAACTCTGATATCACCTTTGAAGACAAACTTTCACAAACTTTCACTTCAGTAGCCAACATAAATTCCAAAAGACCTACTGCTGCAAATAAGCAGTTAAGACTTGATTTAAGGATGCACCCACTGTGGGGGAGGGTTAGTTTCAGAGACCACAGTCCTCAGAAACCCAATAAACATTGCACAAAGTTATTTGTACTGACCCAATGAGTGCCCCATATCAGAATCTACTTTACTTCCTGTCTTTATTCTGAAATCTTTTCTGCCTTGTGGAAAAAGCAAAAACCATGTCAGCATTCTGAGTGTTAAAGAAACCAACATACACAAAATGCAAAGTGAGCACAATCTGGCAACTCAGGTTACCTTAACAATAGTGCCACTACTTTTGTGGAGTCACTGAGTGGGGAGAAACTGCCTATGGTACAAAAATGAATGCTATGTTCAGAAACCTTTGAATCCATGGTCATACAAAGATAAACGTTCTTCTAAATCATTTACATTTGAACATTCGGCCAACTGTTGCCTGACATCTCAGTTAATCTCTACTGACCAAACAGCCTCCCACAGCGCACACAAGCACACAGTTTACTAGGATAGCCCAGGTTGGATTACTACGATTACCATTAACCTTGAAAGATAAAACAATAAAGATTCCCTCACTATAAATAAAACCATTCATCATTCAGAAATGCTAAACTACCTAATTAACTCCATGGAGTTGAGCCCTTCTTGAGAAACAACCAGTCACTCAGCTACTCAAGAATTTCCCAACATTTCATGGAACCCAGAGGTTCATTACCATGTACACAAGAGCCCTCCACTAGCCCCTATCCTGGGCCAGATCAATTCAGCCCATACTGCCCCATCCTATCTCTGTATGATACATTTTAATATTATCCTCCCACCTACGTCTAGGTCTCCCTAGTGGTATCTTTCCTTCTGCCTTTCCCACCAAAGTCCTATATACATTCCACTTCTCCCTCATGCATGTTACATGCCCTGCCCACCTCATCCTCCTTCAACCAATCATTCTAATTACACTTGACAAAGAGTACACGTTACAAAGCTTCTCATTATGCAGTTTTCTCAAACCTCCTATCACTTTGTCCATTTTCGACATGAATATTCTCCTCAGCAGCCTGTTCTCAAACACCCTCAATATGTGCTCCTCCCTTAATGTCAGAGGCCAAGTTTCATAACCATATGAAACCAAAGGCAAAATTACAGTTCTGTAAATTCTAATCTTTATGCTTTTAACACAGCAGACAAGAAGACAAAGTTCTGGACTGACTTGTAATAGCATGTATTGCTGACAGTGGACAACATCAAACATATTAGCATAACGAATGTCAACCCCCTTTACAAATCTTTGAAGAATCATCATCCCTTATCCTATTAGAAATCCTAAATGGAAATGGAGACACACATCTCCTGTCTGGATACAGTGTGCACCACAGTTGCATGAGATATACAGTAAATAGCAACCTTCAGACTCTGATCCTGGAAATACAATGAATCTCATGGCACAATGCAGTGTCACAAAAAGCGTTCACTGGAAAGGATACACAAACAAACTGTGGAAGGCTTCTGTGGTTTTAACACTTTTATGAAACATCTTTCAGTGTTCTCACTGTATTGATTCGTATTTCTTAACACTGCCATAAGGAACAATGCAGCCAGTATGCAACAAAATAAACTATCCTTCCAGACATTTTGGTAAAGACACAGAGAATTCATCTGAAAGGAGCTGTTTCATGTGACGACAGACAGACAGACAGAGTGCAGAAAGCCAATACAGTTATGCATATATAAGTAAAATGTGTCTGACACACAAACTCACCCCAGGTTCAGCCTTTACTGCAGGAAATGGTATCGCCAAAGGATCATCCTCTTCAACTTTTACACTGATGGCCCAATTACACGTCTCACTGGATGGACCAGGTACATCTTTCAATAAGACAGCAGAGATCTGTAAAAAACAGCATAGCCTTACGAATCATATCTATGCTCTCTCGATGACAGATAACATGAAATAGGATACCCTTTCATTACAAATTGTTTATACTGTATCAAACTGGTAACAGCTGTTTTGTAAAAATTTTCTTCTTCACAACAAAATATTTCCTGACAAACTCGCTCCATGACTGACTCACCGATCAACAGACTACTACCTCCCTTGGAACAATATCCTTCATCAAAAGCTAACAGTCATTCAGCAAGTGCAGCATTTCTCTGCCTTCTATAGTACTGGAGGGTTCGATATCATGTCTACAAGAGCCCACTATGGGTCCCTGCCATAAGCAAAAGGCATGTTTACACCTTCCAACTGTACATACAAGCGAAACCTCGAAATATCATTTCCGGACATATCACTTTCCCAGATCCATCGTTCAATTTCTGTGGCCCCTGAACAAATTCTACTTAAACTATAAAAATAAAACTCGCATCAATCATCCTTCAATTTATTGTTTTCTCGCATCTATTGGTGACAATTTTTAGTCCTGAAGAACATTAACCCTGGATTGATGGTTTTTAAGAGAGAGCAATACCACACCACACAATGTTAGTACACATCAGTAGTAGTAAGAGCAGTTGATGTTATTGGAAAGTGGTGTAGCAGGTTGCAGTTTTGGCTCTGTACTGTTAGGTCAGCAATACATGGCTGGCATTTTGCAGTCAAAGTGGACTGCAATGTGCAGTTAACTTGCAGTTCATAAACACTTCACGTCAACTGCATTTTCCAGTTCTCATGAGAGCATTTTGCAGTTCTCACAACTGTACCTTTATTTCTCAGGGTAGCAATGGATTTCGAAGAAGAAACACTGTTGCTCCTCCAGTTATGTAGAAGGCGGTGAATGCAAAGGAAATTTTGAAAATTCTGGGTACATCCAACATTAGAAAACAGAACACAAAATGGACATTTTTATAATTTATTTACACAGCTTAGACAATACAAGGGCAAATTTTTCAATAATTTAAAATATCAGTTCCTTCCTTCGATACACTGGCTCACATTTTAAGAAACAAAATCCAACTCCTTCTTACAATTATGAGAAGTACACCTGCAGAAGAAAGACTTGCTGTTACACTGAGGTAAGTACTTTCTTAGACCTATTACACCTTTAATTCTAGTCGTCAATATGGAGTATCATAATGTATTACCAAAAATGCTACTAAAAATAGTATTCTGTGAAGTGCTGTTAGTAGGTGATGTGGAGGACCTCGGAGACGTGCTGTTTTCGGTCGCAGGAGGTGATATAACAACAAACGTTAGAAAAACCTTGAAAATTTTCAATATGCCTTGATTTAGGAGGTGTTTCATGATAGCCTCAGCTAAACCTCACAATATTGTAGCCTGTGTAATTTTGTTGAGGTTGCATGTAATATTGCTGGCAATGTGTAGACAAAATCTTGTATTTTTTTATTATGCCAATTATTTCAGATTTGGCATCGAATTGGTATTCATCTGAAATTTTCTTGAAATCACCATTCAATGACATAAGAAATAAAATATCAACATTCTGCTCGGTGTTATCGTTCACAATTTGCGAGTAGGTTAAGTTTTTGTTCACATGTTACAATAATTTTTCTATTAGAGCATCCTCTGCTGATATAGTTAACTTGCATTTACGCTTTGCATGCTCTTCATTCATTGTTGATGCCTCCTGACTTTCCTCGAACACTTCAAGCAATTCTTTATCCAAACTCCTAACGGTATCAGCCTTTTCTTTAGCTGAAGGTGTTAAAAATGAAACCTGATGAAAACAGATGTACTGCCTGATGTGAGATGCTGCCGTTTGCTTTTCTGTTTTTTATTTTATTTAAACATCTGTTGAAACCATCTCGGGGATTTCTGCCTCTTCTGGAATGTTACTGCTGTAACAGAAAGCATAAGAATAAAGTATTGATGTTTAACACGTTTCACATGTTTGACATAATAATATCAAAATTCGACATTTGTTTCAGGTATTTTGCTAACAGACGTTAATTTGTGGGGCTTCAGTATTGCTAGAGAATTGGAGCTTCTACAATAAGACTAACTGTAAAGGATGTTTGCATGCAAATTTGAATTAATCTAAAAGATATATGTATGGCAGAGTTGACGGAAGAGAACTGGGCGAATATTGCAAATGGGTTTCAGAAGCATGCTAATTTCCCTACCTGCACTGGTGCTATCAGCAGTAAACACATCAGAATTATTAAACTGAGACACAGTGGTTCACTTTTGTAAGAGTTATTTTTCAGTAGTGCTATTAGCCATGTGACACAAATTATAAATTTACATTTGTGGACACAGGTTCATATGGAAGGAATTCTGACTCAACAATTTTTGAAGACAGTACTTTATATGAAAGATTTCTGTGAGAGACACTGCATATTCCACCACCTGCACAAACTGCAAACAATGGAAACTTTTTACCACATGAAGCTTTCAGTCTCTCTGTAAATGTGATGCATCCTTATGGAGGAAAAAAATCTTATAGTAAAAAGACATTTTTAACTATCAGCTGTCACAAACTAGGAGATATATCGAATGTTCTTTTGGTATACTGGCAAATAAATGGCATATCTTTCATAGACCGCTTAATATTTCAGTTGATTTTGTCATAGACATTGTGAAAGCAAGCTTCATTCTATACACTTTTGTGCAAGAAAGAGATGGCTCTAAGTTTGAAAACACTCTGTCCATGGGAGGGTTCCAAGATGAATATTGCCACTGAAATATGAGTAACCAGGCAGGATGATTATTAAATTCTATTCCGAGATACATTTTCTGACTACTCTGTGAGTGATGAAGGAAAACTGGAGTGGCAATGTGATTACATCGAAAGAAATGAGAGATAGAACTGTAATACATACCAATGTTATATAGTACACAAAATCAAATACAAACTATGAAAATGCTTACCTTTTCATTTTTCTCCTTGTTGCTCTTTACAGTGAAATTCACTCAAAACTTTTAACAAACTGCTGCCCATGCACTGTTCCATTCAATTCGATTACTGTATGGCTCACTCTTGTAGTTCCAGATGCATGGGCACTTCTTTAGTTCACTAATAAATGCATCTGTATCAACAAAACTGCATTCAACATCCATCTTGTAGCTCCTACAGCTGATTAATTAGGATGAAGACATCAGACACAGTGAAGTCAAGGTCATGCAGTCCATGTAGCAGGAACAACCGCACCTGAGCAGTCTGCGTCTCAGTGAGGATCAACTGAAAATGAACTGCAGCCATCAATCAGGAAAAATATGATCATGCGAGGTGTTTACTAAACTTTCCATGGTGTCGGCCGAACCACTGAGACACGAGTGCAAGTCGACTGCGTATGCAGTCCATTTCAACTGCAAAATGCCATCCATGTATTAAGGCCCTTAGCTGTGTGCTACGTAACCTTGAGTGCATCTTACCTACCATACAATCAGCCAGAGGGGAGGAGGGGCTGAAGAGAGACTGTTCCAGGCCATGCCATAGCTCAGGCAGTTAGTCACTGGCTTCCCACTGCGACAACCCGGGTTCAAGCCCGGATCAGATCATGTGGGATTTGTGGTGGACAAAGTGGCATTGCAACACATTTTCTCCAAGTACTCTGGCTTCCCTTGTCAATCTTCATTCCACCAACTGCTCCACAACCACCATCATCTGTCATCTGGGGTTGGTATAATAGGCCAGTAATAGCAGCAGTACCAAGTGGACTCAGTCTCAATAAGAGACTCGTCCACCTGGGAAAACTTTCCTGTATGTTAGTGTGAATCAATTCATGCTTTCGCCTAGGTGAGTACACAGTTCATCATGTGTCTGATCCTCTACAGTGCTTCATGTTATTGTTAATGTCATTATCTTTAAAACAATTTTCTCACACATGGTGTTTCCTGTAAAACAAGCTTGGACTTCAGAAGAATGACTGGGAATCACAGAAGTGGTGGAGAAAAACCGATCAGAGAAAAGGACTGACGCAGCCAAGTGACTAGGCCTGCCTGGGGGCAAGCACCGCTGGTGTGCACTTTGATGCCTACATGTCTGTGGACCAGGAGCTCACAACCCTGGCTGTGTGTGGTGCGCTGTGTATGGAAGAAATGTGTGATGTGGTAGGAAGTGCAAGTTGCGTGGAGAAGGGGCAAGGTGATGGTGGTAATGATGACAATGAAACTGAGTCCGAAGCAGGGCCGAGTTTTACGGAAGCAATTCATAAGTTTGAGCCAATGAGTGTGTTCATGTTCGCTCACAACATCAACAGCAGAAACCATGCGAACACTGTTAATATTGTAAGGTTATTATTCAGTTTCAAAAGGAAAGGGGCTAATGACTTTTTTTAATATGAAGTAATGCAAATTGGACTTGACAGCAGAAATAACATAATTCGTGTACATTTTCTGATTTAAAGGCAAATGTGGCCTTTTTTTTAATTAATTTTATATAGGCCCCCACATATACCGTTTTTCCGTACCCAACTTTTCTTTTTTCAGGATCCCCAACGAAAATGATGAATCGAGGTTTCACTGTATCTATTTTAATACTGCTGTCCTATCTTCAAAGAGGAGTCGGGATAACTCAGCTGGTATAGCGATGGTCTATAGGCTGTTTGATTCCTGACATAAGGAGGTCTTTCTCCTCTCCGTGGCGCCCAGACCAGCTCTGCGGCCCATCAAGCCTCCTATCCAATGGGAACTGATGGCTCTTTCCCCAGGGGTAAAGCAGCCAGGGAGTGAAGCTGACCACTCACCTCCATGTGGTGCCAAGGTCAAGAATGATGGAGCTATACCTCCAGTCCTCCATATGTCTTCATGGTACAGTGCTTAATTAATTAAGAACAGGGACAATTTTCATGTTCAGGAAGATGTCACAAATGGACTCTTCTCTCCAGCTGTTCTGATGAATAATCTGTGAGCATTTCTCATTTCTTACATGCTGCATGAACCAGCCATACCATCTCCCTCGACTGTTGATATGAACAACCTCCCCATTACGCAGGTTTCCCCACTGTACCGTCCTGTTCTCCCACACGTCCAAATGCTCACTACAAACCCTGTTCTGAAACACCCTCCATATTTATTCTTCTCTTAGAGTGAGAGATTATGTCAATAACAATAAATCAAACTTCTATGAAAACTAATAAAAAAAGCAGTATTCATCATATCAAACACGGACAAGTGAATGGATAAGATAAACAGGCTGCTACAGGTGTTCATCATCCCAGGTGGCCAGAGAAAGGAGCAAAAAGGGGCGATTTTATGGAATAAGCTGATGGTGTATAAATATCGTCACTGTGCACGGCAGATGCAATTTCTTCAACCTTAACCTTTAAGTGCCGAAGTGCCCCGTTTATGGCAGTCATGAGTAAGGTCGTCGTGGCCAAAGTGTCCTGTTTGTGCCAGTCAGGCCTTTAAACTCCGCTAGTGGAAGTACATGCACAGTCCTAACTATTTATTTTTAAATGTAGTAATTACCAGACAGACTTGAGTAAAACCCTAATAGAGGAATTAAATTGATACCTAAATGAACAACAGCAAATAAAAATATACGTATCAGTTATGCCAAAACTTATCCACGATCCAGTAATTTTATTGCAGATTCTGCAGATAGGTATGTTAAAAATATATTGTAAAATTCAATGTACATACCTTTTTTGTTGTTACCTGCTTGATGTATATATAGGCTAAAATTATACTACAGTATTTAATTTCACTACGAACGCACAGAAAACAGATCACACTCTGTTTCTTAGCCACGATGCGGCTGTCTGCTCATTCAAATAGAAGGGGCAATAAACTTTTGCAGCTCTAACGGAAGGTCTTAGCACTGAAGAAGGGACCCCTCTAGCTTTCTCTTGAATAGCCATGCTTTCATTCTTCTGTCCTTCAGTCAAAAGATTCGAAAATCCGAAGAGTGTAAGCAGGGCTAGCAGAAGACCAAATGATTTTATTGCTTCCATCTGTTTTATGACACCAGGGACTGCTAAAATTCGTCAAGTGTTACAAACAGAAATGAATTTATAATGCAGAACAACTCTGTGAAGAACTGGGAAACCATTTATGCAGTACGCATCAAAATTAAAACAAAAAATTGAAAATAGAATATAACACTTTGTATTAAAAATTTCAAATCTTCCATTATAATATGTGACACCATGTTCTTTGCTGATATAAACAAGGTTAATACTATCCATTTATCATAAAAATTGTGCAAAATACAGCATTTTTAAACACAACGCTTGAAATTGATTAAGCGCCCAATAGGAATGGACATTTAAGCGCAGAGTAGCAACGGGCATTTAAACGCACCACCAGTGGGCATTTAAATGAACTCCGGCCATCTCAAGCTTACCACTATTTCGAAGTCCAGCGTTTAAAGGTTAATATCCACAGCATTTCCTGTTCTCATTGCATCAACACAGTGCTGTAAAGTTATAAACAAAAGAGGGTTCTTCCACAAGATACATCTGTTATATGTGATACATATGCAGAACAAAGGATAGCATACACAAATACACAACAGCTGATTCCACAGTGAAACGTCTAACATTACAACACTACCAAATGCTAGTAAACAGACATGGGGTTTGGGCTGGTAATNAACCAGGACGATGGATAAAGTCCAAAATCCCAACATATCAGAATATACAGAATGTTTACAACTCGTAACTACAAATAATTATAACGCTTTCCCTAAACTACACACTCTACAAATCACTACTGTAAACAGAAAGTCTTCTATGCCCTCAATAGTCATTGCTTCACTGTGGCAATCTAACAACACAAGTCAAGAATCCACACTCTAACCTCCAACTCACCGTCATGACCCAAGAATGATGGTCAACTCAGAGTCAGAGTCAGAGCCACAGTTACTTTATGACAGATGGTTTACCACCCATCAGTTTGTCTTGGTGCCAAGCCCCTTGAGACTCACAACCAGAGATCCCCCTTTTTCAACTGAACCCTTGCTGTCATAGTCCTTATGTAACATCCTCTCTGATGAGAGAAATCCTCTATTGTTGCATGTTTACCATGCCGTTGTCTAGCAATTGTCACATTTATTTGTTAAACTATTCCACCTTTCATCCATCATGTCACAACATCAATGCAAGGCCCCATAAATAGAACAGGGTTGCCAACAAACCAAGAATGCCATCTATCTAAAAATTCATCTTCATATGAAAACTTTTGAGAAATATGGCAATATCAAGTGCTGGAAGAAAATTAAGAATATCATCTGAAAACAAAGCTCACCTTGGGTTCAACCTTGTTTATGGAACACACCGATGGTGCATAAACCCCATCAGTTTTCAAGTCAATGGAATTTTCTTCGATCACGTTATCATTTTCTGCTTTGATGGCATCATTGTTCTGCTGTAAAGTTATAAACAAAAGAAGGTTCTGTTACAAGATATGTCTGTTATGTCTGATACATATGTAAAATAAGGGACAGCATACACAATGGCTGGAACATCTAACATTATATCACTGCCACATGCTTGTGAATAGACATGGGGTTTGGGCTGATAACTGAATTTACTGAATGCTTAAAACTCATAAGCACAAACAATTATAACACTTCCCATAAAACTACACCCTCTGCAAACCACTACTGTAAACACTAAGCCTTCTATGCCTCCACTAGTCATCCCTTGGTAGTAGGAATCTAACAATGCAACTCATGAATCTGGACTGGCTGGCTTTCATCCATCATGTCACAACATCAATGCAAGGCTCCACAAATGGGAGGGTCGCCAAAGATACAAGAATGCCATCTATCTGCAAACTCTTTTTTTTTGTATGAAAACTTGTAAGATATTTGTGGCAATATCAAGTGCTGGAGGAAAACCAAAAACATCATCTGAAAGCAAAGCTTACCTTGGGTTCAACCTTGTTTATGGAACATGCTGATGGAGTATAAACCCCATCAGTTTCCAAGTCAATGAAATTTTCTTCGATCACATCATCAATTTCTACTTTGATGGAAACATCGTTCTCCTGTATAAACAAAAGAGAATTCTGTTACATCTGGTATGTTTGATACATATGCAAAACAAGGGGCTGCATATACAACAGCTGATTCCACAATGGTACACATAACATTGTAACATTTCCACATGCTAGCGAAGAGATATGGGATTTGGGCTGGTAACTGAATTTACTGAATGTTTACAATGCGCAACTACAAATAATTATAACACTTTCCCTAAACTAAACACTCTACAAATCACTACTGTAAACATTAAGCCTTCTATGCCTTCACTAGTCATCACTTGGTAGTAGTGACCTAACAAGCAACATTAAGTCTTCTATGCCTTCACTAGTCATCACTTGGTAGTAGTGACCTAACAAGCAACATTAAGTCTTCTATGCCTTCACTAGTCATCACTTGGTAGTAGTGACCTAACAAGCAACATTAAGTCTTCTATGCCTTCACTAGTCATCACTTGGTAGTAGTGACCTAACAAGCAACTCACGAATCTGGACCGGTAACGTCCAACTAATAGCTAACTGTTGACTCGGTTGGTCAGTTGATTAAATTGCTGTCAACCTTCACCATCACAGTCAATACTGACTGTTGACTCAATTGGTCGCTCAGTGAAATTGCTGCTGACCTTCACCAGCACAGTCAATACCGACTGTTGACTCAGTTGGTTGGTCACTCGGTTAAATTGCTGCTGACCTCCACCAGCACCAGCAATTTCAAGAGGTGAGCGTCTGCCAAACTCCCAGGTGGGACAGGCATAAGTTATAACTATCCTAATTTTGATGGTGTCCTCATCATATAACCTCAGCATGGACTGCACAGAAACAACCACTTTCAAGAATTCCTCTATTGTTGCATGTTTATTCATTGCTGGGATAACTTGTTTACCACACTGTTGCCTAGCATCTATTTCTTAAGCTATTCCAGCTCTCAGCCATCATGAAAGACTCCAAAAATGGAACAGGGTTGCCCACAAACCAATGACACATACAACCTGCTTTCCATATGAAACTTTTTGAGAGCTGTGGCAATACCAAATGCTAGAAGAAAATCAGAAACATCGTCTAAAAACAAAACTCACCTTGAGTTCGGCCTCCTTTATGGAACATGCTGCTGGTGCATAAACCTTGTCACTTTTCATATCAGTGGAATTTTCTTCAATCAGAACATCATTTTCTACTTTGATGGCATGAATGTTCTGCTGTAAAGTTATAAACAAAAGATAATTATTATATGATGCACTTCTTACACTTCAAATACAATCAAACTGTAAACAGAATAGAAGGGTTTAAACATGTGTGAAAATAAGAATGTTCAAATAACACACAACATAAGCTCATAAAAATGTTTATTTCATATTTCAGTCAACATAATTTATAAAAACTATAGAGATGACCTTTTTACATGAAGGTTGTATATCTGACGCACAACATGTTTCGAGGCCGTAATGGGTTATGATCACGTGCTGATAAATCTTAAGTGCCGAATTTTACCTAATAGTGGTCCATATTACATAAAAGTTCAGCACTTAAGATGAATTAGCACCTGCTCAGATAAATATGCTGAATACTAGTAATGAACTGGTACAGACATGCCAGAAACAGGTTATAATTCCCTTTAATGTACCATGTCTGAGTTCACCTGAGCAGACGAAGAAGACAAGAGAAGTCAGGCAAACTATCTATCTACAACTCGGCGCTACATAAGTCTTCTACCCACGGCCTCCTCTACAACCAGTCTCCACAACCAATGCGTGTTGCCATAGGAATGGACCCACGTACGATGACCCTGAGGCTGGTTGTTAGGTTTCTGAACAAAATTCTTTTTACAGGATGAGGTTGTTAGCCTCATGCCCAACCCCCAGCCTCAAGGATCAGGGTATGTCTCTTAGTCTGGACTCTTTGACCTTCCTGGCATGGGTGACCCTACTGGTAGTTAAACTACCACTGGTATAGTTCTCCAGGTCACAGAGTCACGCAAGCCCCACCACCATGACAAGATGGAGACACCTCTGGGGGAAGTCAGGCCAAGTGGTTCAATATTCATGTCAAGCACCTCCTAACATAAGTCTGACATCCGAAAATTCCACAAAGTACAATAGGAGCTGAATATTACAACAATTCATAAAATTCCTAAAAGTTTTGCTGTAAAGAATACTCATATCTCCATTTGCTTGGAACACATAACTAGGAAAGACCATTGCCTCACTTCCAGTTACGTACAATGTGACACAAAGGTTTTTAAATTACAATGTGGACACAGCTATATTTAATCTTCTTTATTGATTATAACAGGGAAATGACACAATAAAGAACATTTTGGAGATCTCATCATCATTAGCATCATGTGAAACAAAGAATTTAAGAATTCCTCAACTCAGATAATCTCCTCTACTCACAACCAACCGCTAATTAGGAGCTGTCCTTTATGAGAAAAAATCCTGCCCCTTATTTTGTTCATTTCCACACAAAAGGATCAATCATATTCTGGCCATAATTGGCTGAATGTGTGAGAATAAACACATGGACTTGCATCAGACTTGAGTACACACATAACATAGTGTGCAGTGTACTTGTAAATCACGCTGATAGTTACATACGTAAACCATATTACATACTGCTCCAAACACCATGACTGGAATACACACATTTTGACAATACAAACATATGTGATGGTCACGAATCAGACATTACATTTAGCTGTAAAATGCATTTTAGTTGCAGGTAAACTTTACATGAATCTGTTTATTTTTTAAATCAAATGAGACTTCTATGTTACCACTCTCATAGCAAAAATAACCCTCCTTCTCAGACACCAGGACAGGATCTCTACCACCTGTAGTTCCCATGCCTATGATGCTACACTGGTGACATCTCATTTCACTATAACTGTCACACAATCACAAACTGAGATCAAAAAAAATCTCAATACACACTCAGGAAAGAAAGGAACAAGGTCAGTGTCTTTGAATTCAATATACATTGCACTTTGTGTTTGTTGTTCACTATCATATAGGTAGAAGTTTGTTGTTGTTGCCATTACTGCTGCTGCTGTTACTGTTGTAACACGTATACCTAGGCAACAGCTCGGTAAACACATTTCCTAGGTAACACAGGCAACTACAGAACTTCAGTTACTTGGCTTTTGATACACGCAGTGTAACTTTAACTGACTGAAAGCCACTATCCACAGCAACGAGCCATTCAAAGCACCGTAACGACTAAGAACACAATAATTCTACTGTTGAAAGAGGTGTCTTCTACACGGTTCACCAAAACATTAAAACAGGAGTGTTTGCACAGATGAATTAATTAATTGTGGGATTGCAGAATTGTGGAATTATTTAATTACAGACTTCAGGAATTAGACCTGGCTTCATATAGACTTAAATCACCGAATTTATTTAAGGAGCATCCAAGATTTAAAGTGTTGAAGACTTTATTTTATGTGTAATTATTGTAATTGTTTGTAGTTATGACTGGTGACTGTCTAATAAATCTATTCATCTATTATTAGCCACGTAACAAGCATATGTGACAAACTGGTATCAGGAGTGAGATGCGGATTGGATCAGAGTGATCAAGCTATTGGACTTATGATTGTAGCGTGTACTTATATCATGCATTATGGAGATGCGACAGATGATGCAACAGTTTCTGGCCAACCAAGAAAAGGCGGAGGCCAACAGGAAAGGCAACCGTGAAGCTAAAGGTCATGATGGACGCCAATCACCAGAGAATGAATGTACAGCTTACGGAAATGAAATCCACAGTAACTGCCACCAAAGCGAAGTTGGAGACCGCAATACATTCCATGCGGTCTGAATTAGATTAGACCATCTGCTATCCAACCAAAATAGCCATGACGTGTTTAAGTATGAGACACGGTGTATCTGAAAGTAACTGACCAAAACACAGGTAGAATTACAGGAAATGAAGACATCCCTAGATATGCTGACAGAGAACTTCCAAGAAACACTTGAAACCACTGGGGCTGATCTCATCACCGACCTCACTGTGGTCGACCTTGGGGCAATAACGACCAGGAACATGTCCCGCTGTGCAAGAGTGGCATAGTGCATGAGGAACATCGTCAGGAATAGGAGGACCAGGTCCAAGGTTGAGCAAGCAACCCGGAAGGTAGGGCCACTCAGGAAGAATCTATGGACGCACGATGAAGGAAGAAGGGAAACAAAAGATCTAGGCAGCAAGTGGCTGCTATACCGGAGGAAGAGGAGGGCAACCGCGACCGGCATTGGAGGGTGGAGCTCAGGACAGCTGACGCCTCTGGGAAGAGGAGGACAGACCTATAAGACCCTCAAGAAGACCCTAGAGCTAGAATTCGTGAAGTGAGCAAATGGAATGTCCAGAGGGTTACAGCACAGTGCAGCAGACAGTATGACAGTGATGAACATTTCTTTGTGGTTAAAACCTGGAGGAAGCGATCTGTTCACAGTTACCTTCTGGACTGTGAACTTCCTCCTATACAAGGGTAGGGCAGAGAGGGGCCATCACAGGTTGCTAATTATAATTAATTCTGGAAGTAAAACTGCAAATATAGTTCATGCAAACTTTCAGGAAAACAACTACTACTTAGGAATCGTAATGAATGTCCCGGGGGAAAAAGTCCCTCATATTATGCACTGATTTTCTATATATACATTAAAAAATCCAAACTTCGAATGGTTTTTGTCACTATAATGAAGTACTAGTTATAAGCCTTACTCACAGTACCACACTTTCACTATACTAATTCAGGTAATTTCTGGTAGACCTACATATGAGATGTACAGGATCCTAATGGGGGCATGCAGCAGCATACTTGGTTGAGGCATTAAGGCACTATGCTATAAGCTGGAAGATCACAGGTTCGATTTCTGATTGACCAAATCCTTCCAGCAGCACTACAACCCTGGGGTCGGCTCATCCTCTAACAGAAATAAGTACCAGGAATCTTCCTGCATGTAAAGGCACCCGGCATGTATGGCTGAAAACCTCACAGACATCTGTGAACTAAGCGTCTAGAAAATGTGGGAGCCTTGACGTCTTCAACCCTATGGACTTTTAAGGCCAGTTACAGGGATACATTTACCTTCACCTTCACCATATCTTAATAAAATCAAGCACTGATTTACAATACTGGCAGAGAAAGAATTGACAAATGCTTAATTCTCTGTGTACACATTCTACACATTAATTACAGCTATTAGGTACCAGACAGAATGAGAAAATATTCCAAACCCAGTACAGTCACATTAATTGAAATACACAATATGTTAAGGGGGCACATGGTAGCGTAGTTGAGTCACTATGCCACAAGGCAGAAGATCACGGGTTTGATTCCCGATGAGGTCATTGGATTTTTTTTTTTCAGTTTACCTAATTCTTCCAGCAGCATCATGGCCCTGGGGTCAACTAAGCGTCTAACAGAAATGAGTACCAGAAACCATCCTAGAGGGCAAAGGGCTGCCAGGGCATAAGGCTGACAAGCTCACCACCATTTGTGAGCTGCCTGTCTAGAAAATGTGGGACCCTTAACTTCTCACAACTCTAAGCACCCCCAAAGCCCATTAGAGGGGTAGCTTTACCTTACAATACGTTAACACTTTTCCCTTGTAACGTGTACAGACTAGATTGATCTGGCTCAGAATAGGGACCAGTGGCTCTTGTGAACACAGTAATGAACCTTCAGGTTCCATAAAATTCTGGGAAATTCTTAAGTAGCTGCAGATTTGGCTTCTCCTCAAGAAGGGCTCAGCTCCGTAATTAAGTAAGTAACGTGTACAAACAATTCGTAATAAAATGAGAGTATAAAAAACCAAAATTAAAAACAAAACAATCATAAAATATTTTCTGATTTACAAAAGTACACAACACTCACCAAGCTTTCCTTCAAAGCAGGATATACTTCCTCAACTCTCTGCAGTATAATCTTTGGCACTCTTGTAGCAAGAGACTGCATAATATTTCTTAACCTTAAAAGGTGTTCATCAGACACGACTGGTTGGTAATTGCACAAGAAATTGGCTTACAACAATCCTCGTGACATAGCTGCCCTGTTCACTGCAGTGCATTTACATGGATGTACTCGCACAGGTCCTGAAAGGAAACTTACTACTTATAACTGATATTTAAATGTATCACGTCTTATGAAAGATTGTACTTATATTTCGAGGAGGCAAACAAACTTCCCAATACATTCAGATGCAGAGCAACATAAATCAGTCAACCCTACACCATCAGTGACCAGGCTTCTGTAATAATGAATGTAGGATTGGCATGTAAAGCAGAAAGGGGGGGGAACAAATTGTTACAATGTGCAAACAAATCAGAACCTCAAGGCTCATAAGGAATTTTCAGAGGTTTTGAACACTCACAATGAGATGTGGATGGAATTATAACTGATGGCAGCAACACAACAACAGTAATAACATTACAAACCACAATGGGGTTTTGGTTGTGATAAATATATGTCAAAATAAAGAAAAAAGGAACGAAATGTTCTTTGAATTGAAAACTGTGCTGATGTGCATATAAAGTATTATAATTACTTGTAGCTGCGAGTTCTAGTGTCTAGTCATCAACATGTGACAAAATATACAAAGACTCAACTCCTCAAAGGATATTCAGGCTGTACTCTGCAGATGTTACCACTTTTCTGGTGGAGAAAACCAAATTATACTACTAACAATGATTAGACTTCCTTGATGATGGCCCTCCTCCTGCACTTGACATCACTGATTCTGAAATGTTTATGTTTCTGTTGACTATTAGTTAAATGGGACAAGATGGATGTGTCAACCTGAAAGACCACTGTCTGACTACTCAACATTTCTTTTTGCCCTTTTTTGGCAGAACAATGGGAGGTGACAGGGTTCCTCACATTCTTAGATTTCTGCACTTTTCAAACTCTGACAATTCCCTTGCCAATAACGGCCCAAACTATGGTAACTATAGTAATTACGACTGGTTGAAATGGGCATGTTCAAAATATTTCCTCCTCCTGAACATTTGACTGTGCACAAAGTTACTGTAGTCTTCACAAGGAGGTAATTTCACACAGTACATATCCAAAAAACATAAAAACAGAAATTTATAAATTATGTGATATGCGTAGACACACACACACTTATAAAAGGACATGATACGTGCCACTGCATATGTGATAGAAAAATACATAACCACAAAACAACAGACAAAAAATGAGAAATGACATGCCCATAATATATATTTTGTAATTAAATGCATGGAGCTCAGTCATCCTTGAGAAGCTGCCATTAGCTCAGCAACTCAACAATTACCCAACATTTTATAGCACCCAAAGTTTCATTACCATATTCACAAGATCCCTCCACTGGTCTCTATCCTAAGCCAGATGAATCTAGTCCATACCAACCCCATCCTGCCACTTCTATGCAACAGGCGGATGAACGGATAAAGAAACACCCATTTCTATGCAATGGTCAAGGTACTGTTGGACTATAACAATGGAAACAGTATTTTCTATGTGGTCCATGCCAAGATATTATAATTAGGACAGTTTGTAGCAATGAGTCCGTTCTTGGGAACAGTCAGCAGTTCAGTTGTGAGTTCAGGTGTGGAGTGTTAACCTGCAGGCAATGGCATGACCATGGAAGCTTCCATTGTTAAGATTCGCTATCAGGAAACATCTAGTGAAAACACTGCTAAGGAATAGCCATTGTTGAGAGCTGTTATCAAGCAACACCTAGTGAAAGCAGACTGAGAAGAGTTAGCATAGAAATCAGCAATAGTATTATAATTACGTGTAGTTCTAAGTGGTCTATACAAGTGGTCAGTACATCCATTCATCAATCCATACCCCACCTACAGTCACTCACACGTGACAATATTATTCTCCCACCTATGTCTAGGTCTTCCTAGTGGTCTCTTTCCTTCTGCCTTCCCCATCAAAATCCTATATTCACTCCACCTCTCCCCCATGTGCACCACATACCCCACACATTTCATGTTTGTTGACGTTATCATTCTAATTATATCCAGCGAAGAGTGCAAGTTATGAAGCTCATTATGCAATTTTCTCCAACCTCCTACCATTTCATCCCTCTTTGGTCCAAATATTCTCCTCAGCACCCTGTTCTCAAACACTCTCAGCCTGTGTTCCTCTCTTAATGTCAAAGACCAAATTTCACACTCATACAAAACTCTGTTTAGTGTATTTCTTCTCCAAGAATGGCCCAGTTTAACATAATTTCTTCACTCATTTGAAAATTGTTCATGAAACATAGTTGGACAGCCGGATTCAGCCTTTCAAGTAAAACTCTGTATTTTTATTCCACAGATCATCAGTGGATATAAACTTAAGATGTAACTGTAATTATGTATATCAATGAGATTTCTTTGTTATAAGGGTATTAAGTATGAATGTTCAAATGCATTTTCACTTATACCGTCTTTGGTTCTCTTAGTGTATCACTGAATTTCGGTAAAATTCACATGATTACAATTTCAACTTGGGGATATACAGCCTTAAGTTTACAATATGCATCAGTACCAGTGACGTAGCAAGGCATCCAGTGCAGGTAATTGTTCTTCATTAATCTTGGCTACTATACTGCTGCGATAAGTACACAAACATGGATTTCCTTCTCGTCCGTTAATTTGCACCAATGTTGGTATGAGACCCCACATCTGCATTTACAGAAGTAAGAGACTGCTTACCTGCTAAATTCTAATGACTAATTTTCTTGTGTTACCACCACACACCAATCACAGTATAAGCTATGTAACACTCCAGACATCTTAATGTTAGTGTCTGTCAACGTGGCCGAAATGACATCACAAAAGCATTACTGCATAATAAAATACAATATACACAAAATAATAAGATACTTAAACGCTATTAACTTAACCTTCCTACCCAAGAACAGATAATAAACTTAATTACAAAATACACAGTGATTCATAATATTAATTCTGCTCCTCAGTGTTTCATTCTGAAGTAGATAACCTCACATGTCAAACCAATTACAATGTAATGACACTTCATTCTTACCTACACCTAAACATGAAGCATGTGTGTCAAGAAACAATTCCCCATAAAATTCAGAACAGCAATATAATTACTTCAAGATAATGTAGCAGAATGAATTTTGACCATCTTCTAAAAGCGAAGTTTTGGTACGCTAAGGAAAACAGACATGTTTGCAAAGCAGGGAAGAGATTGAGCTCAAGCAATTATCTAATATTGTTATTACAGACAATACATCAATAAAAATTCACCCCAAGCAATAATAATATTCTTTTAAATTACATATTCATTATAGCAAAAATAACAGTCCCAGCCAGCTCCTCTTACCCACAGGTTCGTTGCAACTGCAAGCCAACTGCGAATAATGTCGGTCATCTTCAATTCAGAAGCACCAACATGCTTGCTTTCTCTCTCGTACAATTCAACTTTACATCCACTCCCCCCATACGCCTTCGTGGCGTAATGCTTAATTAGTTAAGTACACGGACAACTTTATTTTTACAATTCAATTTACTGACGACAGCAAACAAAAAAACATACGTATTACCCTTATTAGACCTCGCAGTTGTCTGTACTCTAAGAATAGCTGTTAAGCCCAATTCACACGGGGACAATTTACAGCGTTTGCAAGAGTCAAACGCTTGAAGCAAGTTGACTTTCGTTCTCTTTCACTGTTTGAATTGATGGAGACAGTGCACGACAGTGAAAGTGTAACTTTCCGTTGGAGTAGAATTTGAATTGCTGACCCTACAACTTTTGTGTCCACTTTCCGCGTCTGAACACTAACTTGTAACAAGTTGTAACTTGCAAGTTGAGAGCGTTTCGTAGTGTGTGTTTTGATTTAATAATCAGGGCTATATTTTGAAAATAATTACCGAGTGTCTTATTGCGTTAGTATTCATAATTTGATATTATGAGCGCCCCATGGTGGAATGTAAATGAAATAATGAAGTGCTTGGAATTGTGTGAAACATACAAACTGTTATGGAATATTTAAACATCAAGATTATATGAACAAAAACAAACGAGAATTGTTGTTCGAGAAGCTGCTGCTGGAACCGAAGGAACAAGGATTTGATAACATTAACGTGGAATTAGTGCGTAAGAAATTTAAAACCATCAAAACCGTGTACAGACAAGAACTGTCAAGAATTATGAAATAGAAAAAGAGTGGCACTGGTATTGATGAAAGGGGCACGCGGTAGCGTAGTTTGTTGAGGAGCTATGCTACAAATCGGAAGGTCGCGGGTTTAAGTCCCGATAAGCTCATTGGATTTTTTCATTTGACCTAATCCTTCCAGCCGCGCCAGGGCCGTGGGGTTGACTCAGCCTCTAACAGAAATGAGTACCAGGAATTAATGAAATAATTTTCGAGGGGAATAAAGCGCGGCCGGCGCGTAAGGCTGACAACCTTACCGCCATCTTTGAGCCGACTGTCTTAGATAATGTGGGGCCCGCAACGTCTCACAACCTTCACGGCCTGGTACAGTGATAGCNCTTCTCTTTTTTTTTTTTTTTTTTTTTTTTTTTTTGCTGGTACTGATGATTTGTACAAGCCAAAATTGGTCTGGTTTGAGAAGATGGACAAAATGTCCGTCATTGTTGCCCGTTGACCCTCGTACAATTTACAGTTCCAGAAGATATGTTCATCCGTTTTCAGCCCATCATCACATCCACATGCGCTGACCACGCGACACCCTCTGTCTGCAAAAGTTGGAATTAACTTTACTGACAAGCGGCAGTCGCTCAGTCGGTATAGTTTGCTTGCGGACTAGAGGCCACAGAGGAAACATAAAATTCTGCCTGTAAAATCTGTATTGAGGTAACTCAGTTCAGACCACACCATTGTCATATTTCCATCCATTCTTTACATTATGTCATGGGATATGTCTGTTAGCTTTTGAAAATTTGTCATATTTTCATAGAGAAAACTTTTTATGTAGGTTAGATGTTAGAGCTGCTAAAGGTCGTTGTTGGATATTGTTTAAAATGTTATCTCTCTTAAAAATTACATATATTTGCAGCAGTACCAAGGGGCTGTTACAGCTAGTTCATACCTGTCGTTTAGCAGAAGGCAAACTGATGACATTAAAAAGAGTTTGTAACAACACACACCTCAGTTGGCTCATGTTGTTGCAATAGAGCATTGCATTTCCTTCATTCAGTCACTCATCCCAGTCTTTGAGAAATGTAGGTCACTTAGAAAGCTTGAAAATCATTGAATTAATCAAGTTAGCCAAGCTTAATAAAGTTACTTATTTTTGTGTGCTTGAGTTTTTTCTATTGTACCATGGTGTTTCCTTAATGACTTGTCGGAGTTATCCCCCATTCCCCTGCACAGTCAACACTTTTCCTTTATACTGTGACACCATGGTGTTTCCTAAACTTCTGTCATCTGAGAATAGATCCCCTGGTGTTGCAGGTGTGCAGCCAAATTTTAAAAGTTAGATAATAGGATTGTTCTTTCTGTGGTATTTGCTCTTCTATGTGAGTCGTGTGGCGTTCTGAATGCACAGCTGAAAATGTGAGATGAAAATTTGAGTCAGATGATGAACAAATCTTCTTTCATTCATCGTGGATTTGAGCAAGCACAGATACTGGCAGGGAACTTCCATGACTGAGTGATGCTTGCTCGCTGTGCTTGTGGCAGTCCCAGCCTGTTGTTGAGCCTTATAGCTCACTGACTGAAGCAGGATTTTGCACATGTGAAAATCCACTTTTATCGACGCTGAAGATATGATTAAATCAAAACTTGTATAGCCCCCCACCCCCCCCCCCAAAAATAAACAGCCAATAAGTTGTTACAAAACGGAGTAATTTTAATTCTGTTAAAATTCGGGACCCTAACTGTAGTAGGTTCATGCTTTCTAACACTTTGTCCTGTGTTTCATCTCAGCCTTGTGCTCAGCCGTTTCCAAGTAATTTGACATAATGTTCGAAATTGATTAACACTGTTTCGTTCTGCAAACTCAAATGCAGTTCACTGTAACTCAATCAAGTTTACCCAATAAAACACGTCTGAAAGTTGCAACAAGTTGTCACTTAAGTAAAAGGTCTTCTATTTTCGGACAACCGATCAATTTAGTTTCAACTCTTTCCTTAGAGTAGTTTCAGGAATACCAAATTGTAAACTAAATTCTCATATTTTTGTTCCATGCTTAACAGCAGGCAAGGCAGCTTTCGCTTGGTTCTGACTCGATGAGGCCTTCGAGGTTGTTCTCTTCAAAATATGATGCATTTGTGAAAAGAAGTTTTGTAACGCAGATGCACATTAATTATTGTTCTCGTTAAAATTGTTGCAATCACCCGTTGTGTCTTGTCATTTAATTATGTATTATGCGATTACCCCTCTTGACACCAGTAACTCAATCTGACATCCACATGCATATATAACATCTGGCAACTTGGCAAACTAAGAAGGAATTTTTAGTCAATGGAAAAAACCACAACTACACACCACTTATGACATTTAATACTTTTTGGCTTACCAAAGAATCACAAAAACACAAAACTCGACATAAAGCTGCATAGTTCATTAGAAGTCCAACCGACAAATAATGCTAAATTTTGGAAACCTCTGCTAGATTACAGAGATGTAGATTTGTTTGTGAATTCTTGTTGCTTCAAAACTGACATGCGTACTATTATTCACTATGTGCCAATGGCCTTCTCTCCCCTACATTCTGGCTGTCATGATGATGCTTCGTAAAACTGTGATGTAGTTGCCATCCAACTTCTGATCCTTGTTAAATACTTGCTTGAAACCATTCTCTTCATATGTAGACTTTCTACAATCGGTGAATGTCGTGCCAAAAAACGTAAGATTTTAACTTCGCAATATAAGCTGAGATTTCCATTTCCACTTCAGGCAGCAGTGTGGGAAACCAATCATTCAGTCTGTTCCTTGACTTTTTGCTTGAGCACTGGGCTGCAACTGGTGTAGCTCTGAAATATGTAATAATTAGTTCCACCAGTTGGAAGTTCAGGTCATGTGACTTCTCGTAATTAAGGAAATGTGATTTGGGCACCAGTGCAATATTCACAACTCTCACCTGTAAGTGCAGCTTCCTCTGAGAACTTCTGAAATTGTTGACAACAGGATCCTTTATTAACAAAATTTGCAGACTACACTGATGCAAAGGTAACACTGTACTTGTGTGAGGGAGGTGTTCAGTTCAAATCTTGGCCACAACACCACCCATCCTGGGGTTTATCATGCTTTTGTTCAGTACCTCCATGCAAATACTGGGACAGTGCCTTGATTGGGCCACAATCACTTATTTCCTAATCTTTTCCAAAGCATCGCTTATTAATCACTCTACCAATCTATATGCTAATTCAGGGATTTTTGCACAAATTAAGATGATGGTGTATAACACAGAATTGCTGGGTTTTTGGACTTCTTCCATTGTCCAATATTTTAGAGAATAGAAAACTCGACGTTTCGGAAACTGGATCTGTCTGTCCTCAGGTGAAGGGGGAAGAAGACACCTACTCAGTTGGGCCCCTTAGAAAGAGCTAAGAGCTAGTCTAGTGGTGGATACTATATGCCTTAACAGTTTTTTTCTTTCCATTTCTTTGCATTGGTGCTCATGTACTTGGTTTTGATAGTTATGTTTTTAGCACATTTGTACCTCCTTTTCTATCCCAGTTACACGCACGTGTGTGATTTATCACAATTTGTATTGTATATTTTCGTGTTATCTCCCGCGAATTAGTCTTGTCTCAAGTGATTAAATAGCTGTGTAAATCTGACAGGGGTCATCCAGTGATAGAGATTTCTAAGGGGTCCAACTGAGTAGGTGACTTTTGCCCCTTTCACCTGAGGGCAGAAACAGATCCAGTTTCCGAAACGTCAGGTTTTCTATTTTCTAGAATACCGGACAATGGAAAAAGTCGAAACCCCCAGTAATTCTGAGATAAATTACTGATTAACATGTTTTAACAAAACAGATGCAGTAGGACAATGATGCCCTCAAGTGCGGAACAGAATATCTAAAAGGACAGCTTAACAACGTTGTGGCAATCGAGGAGCAATTAATTGTAACAACAGAGTAACAGGGTCTGAAGATCAGGGATGACATGCAGCTTGAAATGGAGCATCTTTGGGGCCAGTGTAAGGATGATAAGAACCTTATAGTGGGCGCCAAACGCCAAGCAAGGTGTGCGACAGCCATAAAGGAAGTGGGGAACACTCTCAAGCTTGAAGCAGAACAACTTTGAGGCCAGTGTAAGGAAGCAGCAGCACTGAAGGAATGACTGAATATCGCTACAGTGCAGCTTGTTCTTGTTTTTATACTCATATTATGCCTTGTAGGACTGCTTTGGACACTGAGAGCTTTGCTTAACTTTTTGTGACACGGTCTCCGCTTCATTGCATAAGACGTCATCGTCCCATAATCCCCATATCTCAGCAATTGCACGGCACTCCAATCATATTATTCTCTGATTACTGGCTGTTAATGGGATCACTAGTGTGCAGATATGTTAAGAACTAACAATACTCAACACATCTGATTACATGGATTCCAAGGGCTAAGCACCATACACAGTTTGCAAACTATTCATTATAATTTACACATCATACATTCTCAGGGAATTCCGCACCGTTTGATCTGTTAAATTTAGGGTTGTTGCCTAATACTGTATTAGCATTCTCAATAGCCTTAGTATGGCCGGATGATTCTCACTATTGTCGGTTAATAAAGCTTGGCTGAATCTGACGTCCCAGAATGACTGAGTGACTGGCTGTTAACAAGTTGCAATTTACTGTTTGACACAAATGTGGCCAGAGAGGAGAGTTGAAGGAAGTTCTCCATGGTTTACTGTTTGACCCTGGAGATGGAAGTGCTGTGTTGCACTGAAACTTTGTGTTCTCCCTGAACTACAGAGTGTTACAAACAAGAAGACCGTTGTCTTCGCTTTGTAATTAAATGGGCTCAAACAATGCAAAACAAAGTTAATCTTATAGTTTAGTTTTGGTGGCCATATACACTGTTTCATGTTTTCAACAGTAGACAGAATGTAATACAACTTTTCATTATAAAGGCAAAGTTTCCCCTTAATAAATTAAGATCTACGTCATTAAGATATACGGCGGCATGGCTCCGCCATTCTTGACCTCAGCACTAAATGGAGGCAAACGGTCAGCTTCAAGCTCTGGTCGCTTTGCCCCTTGTATATCTAATATTTGATAGGTACAGGCAGATTTGTAATTTTGTCAACAAGTGAGACACCAAGCTTCATTTGTGCACAAAAATGCACCTAAAAACGATACAAAATGCACAAAGAATGGGCAGTTATGAACATACAGACATGTGTATCTGTAAGCAAAGTGACATTGAGTGTAAGTAACATGTAATTGTGTTCCAGTCCAAAAAGAAAAACAGACCCAGACACCCTTCTTGTATGTTTCGATGATCAGACACATAATTTTCAACAGAAGTTATTTCAGTTTCATTCTAAATACTTCTTTATATAAGACTGTCATAATTTTGCATTTCGTTAAAAGTCTGTAAATGTATAGAAATAATATTACAGAAATGTAATGAACAAAAATGTAGAAACTACAACAATATATTCATTATTCCTCTTTTTATATTTCCTTTGGAAAAGGTTCAAAGTTGAGGGAGGTTCTTCCTTCAAAAGATTTATTGGAACAAAACTTCAATGAAAAATATTTTATTCCATATTCATAAGGCAAAAAACTGTAATGTAAATCTAAAAAGAGAAAGAAGATATTACTTTCACTGACATTAATTAACATGGTTAATAAAGAATTATTTAACCCATTTATTACCATCTGAAACCTTTCTTCTAGTGTTGCAGATGAAAGTGAGCACATAATCATGCATAAAAATAACATGAGAAGTTGTGCGTATCTGTGAGCGAAACAACACTCAATGCGTGTTGTAACATCTTACAAATATACAGTACTGAAGAGTGTTTGAAGGGACAGACTTACAGAACTACCATATGTCCATAACTGGGTTTACAAAATTATGACCCTCCACTCTTGTCCTGTATTTTTTAATAAATATAACTTGTTCTGAGAATACTTCAGCTACACTCAATACAAAACCAAAAACAAGACTTTGGCTACAAGCTGCTTGTACAGAATGCACAATGCTCTTCACTACTTCAGGATGTGTGCCTTCACTGTCCCTGAGGACACTTTGGTGCAGCATACATCCATCACATATCTGAGATGCAGGCAAATTTCAAATTACTTTCGATCTGTCTAGTTTTAAGCCTTAGCCAAACGTTCATTCCCATTGTAATTGTTTACTTACCTTATTTTCCAGAAAATAAGACAAACCTTTCTATCCTGAAAAATGCTCCCTAAAAGCTGAGTATATATCTTGCAGTCTGAATTGGACAAGTTGATTTTCAAGAACCAAAATGTGTTTTTTGCACGGTGCAATTGTCATGTGTGCACTGGAATTCCATGATTTTTGTAATGTAATAACTACTTGTAGCATTATTTCATGTTTTAATGCAATGGGTTCAAGGTACAGGAGCTTCCCATACAGTACAGGGTCTAAATTATAACTTGACACATTACAGTAAAGAATATGTAAACAGAGCACCTGAAAGATATTTCAATAATTTCCAACATTGTAATACAAATCGTTGTAAGAGAAGTGTGATAAACATGGGCATAAAACTATACAATAATCTTCCTATGGCGTTAAAGAATGTATCTGATTTTAAAGTGTTTAGGAGGAAATTGAAGTGTTATTTGTTGCATAATGCCTTCTATTCTCTTCAGGAGTTTTTTTATATGTAAGATGTTGAATTAAATGACTGTAATTGTCTGTTAATGCATGTGCTGGTGTTTTTTTATATAATATATTTAAGTATTTATGTATTCTTTGATTATGTTAGGTGTGATTGTTATTAAATCTATATATTCTCTTTGACTTTATCCGATTGTATATTTTACAGTTATGGATGTAAATAAAATTATGAAATTATAATGCAATAAAGAAGTTCCCTATACTCTTGTGTGCCTTATGTTATGGAAAATAAAGTAATTCTTTTCAACAGATATCTGATTGTCAGTTGTCGCTTAAATATTTAATGAACTGCATATCCTGCTTCTTCCTTATAAATAAAATAACTCCACTTTTGTAACTTGGAAGTGTTCGTACTAGATGTAGCAGTCCTATTAAAGAGTATGGCAGGTATAATACTAAGTTTGGACAAAACTGATTTAAGTTTAATATAAAATTACACTAAATATATACTGAAGACCATTATACACATCATATATCACATTGGTTTGGCACTATGTATTAATTGTAGAATAGTACAGAAACAATTACAAATCAGGTAGCACTGATAAACTTAGTTTCAGTGAAATTCAAATTCAGTCAAATAAACAAGCACAAAAGAAAAAAGTTATAGCTGACTACATATGTATTATCATATCTCACAAGCATATGTTGATAGTTTTTATTTCTTTCTCAACTGAATCCTGTATTTTCACATTTCCTTGAAAAATGAAATTAATTTTAAATTCCATAATATTAATAGCAGTTTCATAAAATAGAAAAAAAAGTTTATAAAATGTATAACCAGTATGGCACATAACTAGACCAATAATTATTACATCATATACAATGATAACATTTATATTTATATTTATAATGACAGCTACACACTACTTTCTGAGAACATTTGAACAAATGAAGCATAAAGTTCCAACTAAACCTCAAATATAACTTCTGTTACTTACAGCCTCATATTCAAATTATTGCTCACTTTTGTACTTGTTACAGCACATGGCAAAAAATACATTAACTGGCATGACTTTTGTATTTGGTATTCTTTTCTTTGCCTCTATTAAGCAATAAAATTATTCACATTATACACTATCTTAATACTGTCAAATACAACTACAGTATGTCCATTCACCCCACACATTTCAGTTTAAGCCACTTTCATGGAATTCACACTATCCATTGTAGTTATTAAAAGTTCCTGAAAAGAACTGTGTAAATTAAAAAACACGTAAATGAAGACCGAATTTCCACAAGAAATTAAGGAAATCAGAGGGTTGTGTGCACGGGCCAAGTAAACTCTGAGGGCATACTGAGCATAAAGTCAAGCAGCAAGAAATAACTGCATGGGTCACAATAACTAGTTATATTAGCTTCTCCTATCTTCAACATCATGCTGTCTGCCATGTTGCCACTGATGATGCTGTCAGTGTCAAGGGTCTCAATCCAGAAAGCATGTATTAGACTAAATTTACACATGATATTCAAATGCAACATACACCTCAATATTACAGTGTCACTGCTTCCTCAGTTATGACATGTCCAATAATACATTTGACCGAAAAAGAGTCCTTTGTAGCGACTGCCACCATGAACAACTTTGTTAACACTTTGCAGACCGGCAATGTAAATATTTAAATCACCCTGTGGATCGACATTTTTAAACCTACTACCCTAACTTGTGCACTGTTCACTTTAAAAATTAATATAAAATCTCCTAATTAATTTTATGAACTAAAACTTTTGGAGAACACTTACCAATGCTTCTAGAAGTGCTTGAGAGTGTAATATTTCTGGAAACATTCCCCTTTGTGAAGTGGCATTACACAGAACTTGCAATGTAGACAGTCATACTCCTTTTTTTGTGAACTGTGCAAACACGGCACTGCCTAGGATGCTTCCCCTTGGAATGTTCACTCTTCACAATTTTCATGAGGATATGTTTCCGCATATCATCCGAGAGTCGCCCAGGGGTGTCCACATGAGGCCTGCGTGGGGTGGGAGTTGTTGGGCCTGGGCGCACTAAGTCTGTGCCTGACTCTGGTTCTGCCGCCACCATCTGGTCTGCAGCACAGGCCTTTGCCACATTCATAAAAAATGCTTTGTATTTCAATTTCAAATCGGGGTTTAGATTTTTGTAAACCAAAAATGAATTGAAAATGGCACAATTTATAAGCCACAAGGCAACTTTCTTTGTCCACTTTATTATTTTCCTAGGAAGAGAATAATAGGCCAAGTATTGAACGGCTCTATCAACTCCCTTCCTGAACATATTATACTCAGAAATACAAATAGCCTTCTTTACTTGTCCATGTGTCCTTTGAACATCAACCATGCTCAAATTGTGCATTGTAGAAATCATATTCACAACACGAGTATCCCTATCTCCAAAAAACAGTTCTGCTACTTCAGACACTTGTGTTGGGTCCGATGGAATTTGTTTCTCCCCTGGATTTCCAGTAAACTGTCCCAAAGTAGGTGTTTTGTCTACTTTTCCCCATGTGGCTGTCCCCGCAATTTTACTACCTGCACTTTCATCGGAGCTACTTCCACTTTTATTGTCTGAGGCCACAGTTCTTTATTGTCTCCTGTCACTGCCACTGTCTAAATCACTATCACTATCACTACACATCTCAGAAGGAATGTCAGATAGCATCAGAGAATAAGTCAGACATTTCGCTTGGTTTTCAACCACCTCTGTCCTTGACTCATTGCACTACTAACTTCCTGGCTGGTACATAAGAGCTTGAAGGGTCAAAGATCATTTTTCTTTGGAGGGGGAACCAAAACAGCGAGATCAAGTTACTGCCTATTAAGCAAACATTCCAGAATAATATTACGCAGTAGTCATTTCATTTGGGTGGCGCCAGAGAAAGGTATAGTGTGTTACAATCTAAAGTGTCCTAAAATCATAATAATATGCCACCGGTCCACCACGTTTAAAAGCGCTGGGCATAAAAATATGCCACTGGTCCGCAAAGTGTTAAGTCCCTCAAACTGTGGACTCACAACTGTTGGATTTCTCCACCTGGGAAACCAAACTTCTCTAACAATGACTATATTACACTGAAACTCTATCACAACTCTAAAATACTTTAATTTATTTCACTGCATAACATGTTTAAATAACTGTTAATTCATGGTCATGATACAAATAAAATGGCAGCAAAAATTACTTCTATTTATCACAAATCCAAAGGATGTAAAATATGCCACCCCAGGAGCTGCTTCAATTGCCTGTCCTGATGTTTTGGGCTCTGGCTCATACACAAACCTCCCTACAATTGTTTCTATCGCAACAGATGTGTCACATATTACAGCTACTGGTGGGTGACATGTGAATGGCATCACCAAAATATTTTATAAGTTTAAACACTACTTGAGCTATTCTCTGCAAAGAATACTCGCTCAGTTTCACTGTACAACTCAAAGTGCTGCTGTCATAAATATGTAATTTTTAACTCATGACAAGTTTTCTGATATGCAACAACTGTTTGCCTGTATGCATATCAGTTAAAAAAAAACACTGCTTATGCATGCCCTCTCCCTGCCAGCTATGATATTAGTTATCATGTCAGCTTCAAAACAGAAACTCACACTGTAAGATATGAGGCTTTCACAGCGATGACTATGAAGAAAGCAGTCTTCTGGGATTTGGCACCGTGTATATGTGGTGTTAACCAACGTTTCAGAGGAACGTATCGCCTCCATCTTCAGGGTAGAAGGAAAAATATAAGAAATCCGCAAGCGAAGAGACCGTGAGAACTGGTAAAAGCAGACTGTTTGCAGACCAGTTCTCACGGCCTCTTCGCTTGCGGATTTCTTATATTTTTCCTTCTACCCTGAAGATAGAGGCGATACATTCCTCCGAAACGTCCGTTAACACCACATATACACGGTGCCAAATCCCAGAAGACTGCTTTCTTCAGAAACTCACTTGTCCTCCTGCGCCATTCAAATAAAATTATATCTTACACAATACAGAGAAAGCAATTTGAAACATGCTCCACACATGTTCAGTTGCAGTATGCTCATAGGAATGCCAACTGAGATGCCTCTTGACAGCCTACATCATTTGATAAATTTGGAATCTTGATCTCAAACCCTGAACTGAGGAGCAGTAATTTGTAAAACTAGATGTGCATTTTGGCTGAGCATGACTTCACAAAGATCGTTATATACAATGAAGTCCTGTAATGTTAGGCATGAATAAAACATAGCCTTTCATTTTGAAGGTCATGCAAGATGAGATATACCCAGCTCACAAATAATACAAATACAGACCAGTGGCTGTAGGCAACAGCATTTGCACGTGCAAGTGGCTGGTATTAATTAAGCCAAGTTATTTGACGATAGCATCATGCAACATTTAAGGCTATTTATTTGAACTTCACTTACTGTCTTAGTTCTTTATATAATAAACATAACTTTTTTTAACAAGTTTTACTCCCATAGTAAGGTGGAAGAAATGTGAAGAAATTCCTTCCCTGCTGGGCCCCTAGACATATCTGGTCTCATACCTTGCATAACGGAAACTGTCTCCAAAAGAAAATTCACAGTCTTATTCATTATCGGAGTACAGCTAAGTCACTCTATATGCCTGTCAGTTAACAGGGATGTTTGTATTCCTCTGTCTTGGAACTTCCACAAAGAGTAAATAACCTTTTCACAACCTGTACTTCTTTTGGCTTATTTTGGACTTCACCCATTGTCTGGTATGTAAAAGACAAAAACCACGATGTTTCGGTGACTGGATCTGTCTCCATCTTCAGGTGGATAGGGAAGGATAAACCTACTCAGTTGGGCC